AGAGAGATGAAGAGATTTTCCAACTGCTAATCCATTCCCCAGTGAGCCAGGCTCTAGCCAGGAGCCAGGAGCTTTATCCAGGCCTGCCACGTGGATAGCCAGGGCCCAAGCACTTGGGCCGGTTCCATTACTTATTCTACATCTCTAGCAGGGATGTGTCTTGAAGTGGAGCAGCCAAGATACAAAGCAACAACCATATGGGGATGCTGGCATCACAGGCACAGCTTTACCCATTTTCCCACAAGGCCACCCTAAATAGCAATTCCTGAACAGCTCCAGACTAAAATACACTATTGTGCTTCTCAAACTTGAATATTTTTTTTAAATGTTAAGATCCAGTGCCCTAATTAAAAAAAAAAGATTCAGAGCCTGGATGCACAATCAGATATTCTGCTGGAAACTGAAAATTTACATTTCTAGTAAGTGTCCATATGTGGCTGGTGACACTAACTGGCATTGCATGCTGAGAAGTTCTATTCTTCTATACTGCCTTTTTTTTCTTTTAATTGCCTTACTCCAGGCACATCGCAACCTTTAACACCTAAATTAGTTCCAGGTGAATGACTCTTTTATGGTTTCAAACAATCAGAGTCTGCACGGTATCAGGTACTCTGCCAGATGCTAGATACACTGAAAAAAAATTTAAAGAAAAAAAGAAAAAAGTTAACCAAGTAAGCTGTAATTGGGGCTTAGAGTACAGGAAGTCGACACAGTGTTAACCATCTACACAAGAAATCAGAGTACTCCAATGCAGATGGAATATTAACAGTCTTCACTCTCCACATACCTACTTCCCGAGCAAGAATAATACTGCTGAGGCGTATGGGTTGGGTAGATTCAGCAATGAGTACAGCTCTTCGAGAGCACAGGGTGTCGTTTTCATATAAAGGCTCGACAGTAACTGCATCATGATGGGTGGAATGCCTGCCAGAACAAAGCGCTCGAAAGTTTAAAATGTATGTGGTTCAAGTTCACTTTAGGGTGGAACAGACTCTTACAGTTCCAGTGCCACACTGTTTAATGACACTCTAAAGTAGGAACACTGCTTAGGGACACATGCAATACAGTGGGAAAGGCTTATCAGAACCTTTTCCACAAATATTATTGTGGAAAATTCCACCCATGTTATATTGTCTCTCCATAGTTTACATGACACTGTTATTGTTCTTAGAGTGCAAAAGCAGGATGATGCTGTTTCCAATGAGGCAGGACTTCCTCATGCTCTGAGAAATAAATTTTCTCTCATCCTAGAAGCTGAGCTGTTGGTACCAAAGATGGAAAAGTTACCTCCATCATGAGTTGTGAATCCAACTGAAACATTACAAGCAGTACTTCTGGAGGTGGAAAGGAATAGCTTTCATACCAGAGCCCTTGCATCCTCCTCTCAGGAAATACCACACACTGGCTCATGTTACCAGGCCAGTTCCCTGAGAGGGCCTCCTAAACTGGGAGATGAACTGCTCACACCCTGAGCCTCACTGCTTCCCTTAAGGGATAAGAGGAAATGTGCTTAGCATGAATGCACTGGTATCTTGGAAGCTCACTGTCGTCAGATTTCCTCACGTTTCACGCAACCATATAATTTACTGATGGGTTCTCTCACCCCCAAAATACTATGCCTTTCCACCTTTGGTCAGAAATGGAGCCCCCCGCCCCCCAGCTCTCATCAGTTTAAATGAATACTCTGATCGGGAGAAGGGGTATAAGACACCTGTTATACCACAGACAGACATCCCTTCTGTATCCACTAGTCCTCATATTCCGAAGTTTTCACAGCATGGTTCATGGGTCTGTTTCCTCATGCAATGGGAATCCTTACTTCAGAAGGCTGTCCGCGTGAGTTCACTAACGCAATGCTGATTGTTTGGTTTTCAGTACCTCCTCACAGTGAGACCCTCACACCCCAAGTCTTTCAGCCCCTTCAAGAAATTTGCTCAGCTCTTGGGAATGCCCTATCACACACCCTGAAGTCCCTCACAGCAGTCTAGGGAGCACGCCTTCTCCCACACAGTGAAAAGTACACCTTCGCCATCAGAGCCCAGATCCCGATGATCAACCCACAACTCGAACATCCAAGGGCAGCCTCCCCTGCCCCTCACTGACACGCCCTCCTCCCCACACGATTATCAGACGGCATACTAGTGGGGTCTGACACAGTAAACCCTCCTATTCAGAATGAACTGGTCAGGGGCCCGGCAGGCTGGACATCTCCTACCCCTCACCAAGTGTAGCAGCCCCGCTGTGCCTCCAGAGGGAAGGGCACCCGCCCTGGCTCCCGGCCAAAGGGTAGCAACACCTGAGGCACGTTCAGTTTGTTGGCCAGAGTTCCACGCCAAACCAGCAACAGCAACAAGAAGCAGTGAAGCGGCCGCCACAGAAAGAGTCCCAAGTTTGGCGTCCCTACATCCATCATGGCGCCCACCAGGGCTCAGGTTCCCTGCCAACCTACGGCCCCGCCCTCAGCACTGACACCGGCCAATCCACAGGCGCGACGTCATCAGGGCGGCCCCTCCGTCCTGTTCAGAACTGTGGGAAGGCCACAAGCCAACGTCAAACACTGGAGGACACATCTTTTAATAATAAGAAAAAAAAAAGCAGAAAAGCCTTTTTAAAAACCAAGGAATTTGGGTCTGGCGGAGTGGCCTAGCGGCTAAAGTCCTTGCCTCTTGAACACACCGGGATCCCATATGGGCACTGGTTCTACCCCTGGCTGCTCCACTTCCAATCCAGCTCCCTGCTTGTGGCCTGGGAAGGCAGTTGAGGACGGCCCAAAGCCTTGGGACCCTGCACCCGTGTGGGAGACCTGGAGGAAGATCTCCTGGCTCCTGGTTTTGGATCAGCACAGAACTGGTCATTGCAGTCACTTGAGGAGTGACTCATTGGATGGAAGATCTTCCTCGTCTCTCCTCCTCTCTGTATATCTGCCTTTGTAGTAAAAACGAATAAATCTTAAAAAAAAAAAAAAAAGGAACTTCCCCCAATTTAATTGTTCCTTGTCTACTATGTAAGGCTTGTAAACCAAATAAAAACGTTTCCCAAAAAAATTTGCAATAATTTCCAGTCAGCATCAGTACAGGCCTATAAATGGAAACATTTTCCAGTCTCTTAGCAGAAACAGTCAAACTGTCAAAGGAACCATGTGATTTTTACTAGGAAGTCGGGATTCATGTCCAGCCTCAAAGCTGGAGAGCAGGAAATGTCAAACACCAGGGGCTGAAGGGCAGCTGTGAAGGCCATTCACTCACATCCTGTCTCTAAGCAATGCTTGTTCAAACTCCCAAATATACACCGGAATCTTAACTGAAAAATCATCTCAGATGTCTACTGACTGCAATATATGATTAACATTGAATAATTATTTAAGGAGCAAAATAGAGCTATGGTTTTAAAGAATATAATTGTACAAGGTAATATATTTCAGCCTGAAGATGTTAATGCTAAATTAACACAACCTAGAAGAGGCTGGCACATAAATAGTTCCAACCTTCACGTTCACTTTGATATTATCTCCATGAGCAACTCCAGGGCTCAGTTTGGAGCCCAATGTGGGTCAGCTTCCAGAAAGTGTGCTAACATAGTGAACCCAGCTGCTAGCGTCACAAAGATCCGAATCTTAAGCTTTGGTTTCTGTGGAGAAAGTACATTTGGTTTAGAAATAAAAGTCAAGTGCGAATGAGAGAGTTGGAGGGACTGGTTCTTTATTTCAAAAAGACACTTATTGTCAATATTCAGTATCAAAACAGTTACATATTGGTTTCTCTTTTCTCCCAGTCGGCCCCAAAGAGACCACCCAAAGGAGAGTACATTGTAAGCCAATAAGCTGCAGGATGTATACCTGTCAGACCCTCACTCACAGAAACCTCACCAAGAGTAGGGACTAGGTGGGGAAAGAAACTCTGGGAAGGCCAGCACACTGCCACCCCAGTCTGTGGAGAACTCCCACAGCCAGAAGGGCTGGCCAGGGGCCCCAGGGCCAGAGAAGCAAAGTTTCAAAATTAATATAAAATTTTAAAAGTCTTGTACATAAGCGATTCAAGATTTCTCCAGCACTGACTGATTCAAAGCACAATGAGATGGCACTTTTTAGAAACAGCAGCTTCAGACCCAGCAAAGGGTTGGTGAGATGAGTTTTCTATGGCAAAAACATAATCGTCTTTTCTTTCAAGCAGGCAGGAAAGCAACAAAGTGGTCCCTTCAACCTAAGCGGCACATGATCTGTTTGCAAGCTGTTGGGAAGGGACAGAAGTGGGGGAGGGGGAGAGAAAAAACTGGTCTCAGGGGCCTTACCATCTTAATTTGGTCATTTCTGATGAAAAAGGTAAAAAACAAAAACAAAACAAAACAAAAAAACCAGCTGTCCACAGATCCCTTAAAGCTGTAAACCTCAACAGCATAGTTTTTAAATTTGTTTTTGGCCATCTCCTTCTAGAATCACCTTTCTGGTTTGGCTGATGCTTTGTCCAGAGCAATGAGGTTCCCACAGAGGAGTCTTTTCCCTGGGCTCTGTTTGGCTCCCACAAAGGCAGGCCCACTCTCCTCCTCTGTGGAGAGGGCACTAGGCATTCAGCTGCCAAGTCACCTTCACAAATAAAAAAGGGATTCAACTGCTGCCTCAGTGTGGAATCACTTGGAATGATTTACAAAACAGTTGCTACAACAACAAAAAAAGGTCATTACAAAATGTGTACATCACAACATGCTTTTAAAGACACTTTGCATTGTGCTCACATTCCCTTAAATGTTGTTCCCAAAAGGACTCAGCCTCTGGTCCCAATGCAATCTCTGGGAAGAGGCAGAGACAATTGCGTGGCAAAGGCGGGGGGGGGGGGGGGGGGGGGTAGAGGAGGTGGGTTGGCGAAAAGGAGAAAAAAAAAAAGCAGCCTTCCAGTTAAAGTATCAGCCCTCAGTGTCGAGGTCAGCTCTGGGCAGGCTGGCCTCAGGTGGAGTCGGGGTCGGAGGGAGGAGTGGCGGCAGGGCGGGACAGGGGTGCTCTACATCTCGTTCAGGTCAAGCAGAGTCTGGTCCAGCATCCTTTGTGTACAGAGGTGCTCCTCTTTGGTGCATTTCAGTTTATCTAATGGGGACAAAGCAGAGAGATTATGAATGGTTCATCCCAAGGTCAGCCCACACAAACTCAATGCTGGTTGCAGAGAAGATGCAGGCTAATTAAGCAGCTGCCTTCTTGGCCACAGAAGTGAGCTATTGCATCATGGGGTTTTGCAGAGCCTCTGGCTTGCCTACTGAAGCTATGCAAGTGTTGCTGTACTTCCTGAGGCAAGGAGGTGGGGACCTCAGTCAACCGCTTCCTGTCCCTCCCACACCCAACCACGGCTTTCTGTTTGCAGTCACTGAAGAAGCAGGCCTTCACTGGGTCACTAAGCAGGTGCCTAGCAATGCCTACAAGGCAATGCCTACTTGAAATGGCTCACTGGAGTTTAACCACCGCAAACAACGATGACCATTTCTATGGGTAAGACACACTCAACACTACACCACCAGTGTGTCCCTCTTCTACCTGGAGCATAAGACCTTACTTGACCAAGAGTGCAGGAGGAGCCTCAGGTGGTACATTCTCTCTCCAAAAGGGAGAGATGAAGGAAGAGAACAAGAGGGATAGCAAAGACACAAGCCCTCACAGCACGATCAGAGATTGTAAAGAAAACAAAGGTAAGAATACTAACCATTCTTGCAAGCAACTTCTGAGATTTTTGCAAAGCTACTGCCCAGAACTAGCCTGTGACAATTATTTACAATGGAACACAGATCCAGAAAAGGAATCAAGGGGTAAAACATCAGATGGGAGTGCAGCAGCTGACTACCACAGCCCGTCTAACCTGCCGGGCCAGCAAATAACTCTGGTGACTCTGGAGAGGTGAGGAAGGACGACTCCAATCTTCTACCCACAGAAGGGGATGGCAACGGGCACCCATACTCACAGCCCACACCCTCCTTTGCCCTTCCCCTTTTTCCCTGCCCCATCAAAAAAGGTCCACCCTTGGGACCTGCAGATGAAGCAGTTACAACCTCTTGTCAAGTCAGTCCTTTTATTGTTAGAAAACAGCCAAGCAAGGCAACATATCCTACAGTCACAAGTGAGAGAGCAAAAATAAAAGGTGGGAAACAAAATCTTCCCAATATTTAAGATCACCTTTCAAGCTCTCCCTTGTATCACCCATCAGTTCCTGGAAAGGAATTGAAATACAGTACCAACTGTTCCAACTTTGTTGGTATTATGAAGCAATCAACAATATTCTAAGCTTCCCTCCTCCCCCCCACACCATTTAAAAAGCAAAGGCAAAAAAATAAGAATAGCTTTTAAAAAAAGAAAGAATCAGCGTTTTGCTGGGGTCCAGGTCAGTGGTGTGAGCACTAAGCTCGGTTAACGGGCACCAGGAAGCGCTGCCCGTCAGTCACAGAGATCATGCAGCGTTAGCTTCAGCTCATTAGAAAGCAGGCGGTTTCGCTCAAGTTGGTTGTAGAGGCGCTCTGCGGCAGCAATACAGAAGAGGGAAAACAAGAGAAGGAGAGGAAAAAGAGAAGGAGAGAGAAAAGGGAAGGTTAGTCGAGCACCGGAAGTTAATGATGGAGTTTTTCAACTAGCTGGTATACAAAAGCATGCACCTGTGTAAGTCAGGGCAGATGCAAGGATTCAGACAGAGGAAGGAAGGAAGTCAGTCAGCCGGCGGGACAACCAGCAGAAGAATGGAATGAAAAATGCAGACTGACCAGTTGGTAGGGGAACATTTTCAAGAAGGGAGGGGAGCAATTTAATAAAACTTCCTTCATGGTATTTGCATTTCTTTCCTGGACTGAGAAACAGACAAGCAAAACAGGGGGAAAGCAAGAGCTAAGGTTGACTTGAAAGAGGTACATTTACGATCATCAGAGGTTAAAAAGAAACCAATGTGATTTATTGCACATTTTTCTGTAAAAGCATTCAACATAAGTCTTATGAACAGCAGACTGAGTTAAACAGTCCCATACCTACCCAATCCTACACATTTTTTTTTTTTTTAAATTGAGAGGTAGATAGAGGGAGAGAGAGCATTTGCTTCAAGGGCTCACTTCCGAAATGCCTGATTGCCTGGACCAGGCCAATGCCAGGAACTGGGAACTCAACCAACGTCTCTGTGTGGGCAGCAGGACCCAACTGCAGGAGATGACATGGCTTCCCATGGTTCCTAGCAGGAAGCTAGAGTCATGAAGTGGACCGAGGGCACTGGGACGTAAGACACAGGTGTCCAACCTACACTGTAATTGCTAGGCCAATACTTTTAAAAGAACCCAAACTTGTTCAGATCAACAGACTATCCAAGGAAGGAGAGTTATTGATATTAAAAAAAAAAACTACCCTGAGGCTAACATCATGGTACAAGGAGTTAAGCTGCTGCCTGTGGTACTGGAAACCCACACAAGTGCTTGTTCGTTTGGACTGATCTACTTCTGATCCAGCTCCTTGCTAATGTTGTCTGGGAAATCAACAAAAGATGGCCCAAGTGCTTGGGAGACCTGTCTGAAACTCCATCTGGAGTTCAGGCTACTGACTTTGGCCTGACCCTGCCCTGGCCATTGTGGTCACTTGCAGAGTGAACCAGTGGACTAAAAATCTCTTCTCCCTCTCCCTGCCTCCCACTGTCTTAACATTATCCTGTTTTTCAACCTCCCTTGCAGTGAGGGGGAAGATCATATGATCAAGCTTCAACCAACGAGATGCTTGAAAAGAGCTGGCTACGGGGCTTCTGAGAAAATAGTTTTAGGCCCGGCGCAATGGCTTAGTGGTTAAAGTCCTTGCCTTGCACGTGCCAGGATCCCATATGGGCACCAGTTCTAATCCCGGCAGTCCTGTTTCCCATCCAGTTCCCTGCTTGTGGCCTGGGAAGGCAGTTGAGGATGGCCCAAGGCCTTGGGACCCTGCACCTGCATGGGAGACCTGGAGGAGCTCCTGGCTCCTGGCTTCGGATTGGCTCAGCTCCAGCTGTTGCAGCTGCTTGGGGAGTGAATCATTGGACGGTTGATCTTCCTCTCCATCTCTCCTCCTCTCTGTATATCTGGCTTTCCAATAAAAATAAATAAATCTTTTTTTTAAAAAAAATACTTTCCCTCTTGCCTTGGACATGAAGATGTATAAGAACCTATAGAAAAGACCAGGAGAATCACAGAAATCCTGGGAGTTCACACTTGCTCATGGGTAGACTGCATGATTAAAACAAATACAGCCTATATTTATTTAAAATAACTGCTGAGCTGTTTCTTATCAACAAAGCATTCCTGATACAAGCAGACCTGCTACAGTCTACTGGCTCTATCTGGATTTTCTACTTGAAGCACACCTTAGGAAATGGGGTGGAATTCACACCCAACTGAACAACAGTGATATTAGAGACAAGAAAGCCTGACAACTTCCTTCCAGTGTCAGCATCTGAGACTCAGATATGTTTATCTTATGTTTCACAGCCTGTTTCAAAATGGCCTCTAGATTTCAATCTGAAACAGATCCTTTCCCAGCCTATCTGTGAGTGCTGCTTGCCACTTTTGCCTTCAGGGCTGAGGTTTCCCCCAGCTCCACTGGAAAGCTGGGGACCAGAATGATTCCAATCATATTTGTTACTTTATTTTTTACTATCAAAACAGAAAGCACATATGGATAGAAAGCCTGAAAAGGAATGGCTAACAGTAGCAGTTATACTGAAGTAGAGAATTAGGGTAATTAAAACATATATATCTATTTACAGCCTGGCGTGATGATAGCCTAGTGGCTATCATCCTCACTTTCCATGCACTGGGATCTCATATGGCCACTGGTTCACATCCTGGCTGCCCTGCTTGTGGCCAGGGAAGGCAGTTGAGCACAGCCAAAAGCCTTGGGACCCACGTGGGAGACCCAGAAGAGGCTGCTGGCTCCAAATTGGCTCAGTTCCAGCCACTGTGGCCACTTGAGCAGTGAATCAGCAGATGGAAGATCTTCCTGTCTCCCTTCTTCTCTGTGTATTTGACTTTCCAATAAAAATAAATCTTAAAAAAATATATGCAGATAAATCTATTTTATTTGAAAAGCTGAATGACAGGAAGACAGAACCATTCATCTGCTGGTGCGCTCCTCAAATGGCTGCAATGACTAGGGCTGTTCCAGGTTGAAAGCCGGAGCCCATAACTCCCTCTAGGTCTTCCACCTGGGTGGCAGGGCCACCACCCATTATGTTTGCAGACACCAACAGGAGGGAACTTGATGGGAAGTAGAGCTGCCATGACTCATAAAGATGCCCACACCACACAGTAGCTTAATCCTCCATAACGCTGGCCCCAGGGCATGTTGCTTGAATTGCACTGTCCAATAAATCGGTAGTTTTCAACAGGGATGAAACCGCCCCTCTCCCTTCTCCAGGGGAGAATCGGAAATACAAGAGTAACACACAGGATTGTTTCGTACATCCATGACTTGTCCTACACTGAATAACAAAAGTTCACAACCGACCAACACTACTGTAGCTTGTAAAGTTCCATTAGGCCTAGAATTGGACCTGTCTTACTGGCCAGAGTAAGACACAGCAGACAGTCAAAATTTTTACTCTTATCTCTCAGATTTCTCAATGTTCTGTTACATACAGACCTCATACACAGCTCAAGATTAGAGGGTATCGAACACCAATTTGTGTAATTGTCACTCCTGTCTTCACAAATATCAGAATCTTCTCCCCCCAAGTATTCTGGTCAGCAAGGGTTTTGATCATTCATGTATGAAATTCAGAGACACAAAAGGAATGGAAGCATTTTATTGCCTAACTAAATCCTAGAAGGCAAAGTTTCCAAAGATTTTCATGAAGTCAGAACAATGCAGTTGTTCTCTCACCTTGAACTTAGCTTCTAACTTTTATCTGCAGTGACTAAAAGCTCAAGATGCGGTACCAGCCCCCTAAAGTACTCAGTTCCCTGATAACAGTAAAACTAAACAAACAAGAAAGGGCAAGGCAGGGGTGGACACTATGGTACAGCTAAACTGGGATGCCTATACCCTATATAGGAGAACCAATTCAGGCCCTGGCAACCTTGTCTCTGAACCAGATCACAGGATCTTCTCCCTGCCACCTATCCTGCGACACCCAGATGGATTCCAGACACCTGAAGTCATCCTGGCCCTCCCCTACCTACTGCACAGAAATGAGAATAAACCAGAGGATGAAGATCTTTGTCACCTGCCTTTTTTCTTTCAAGACGTATTTAACTCAAAAGAGCTACAGAGAGTGGGAGCCAAAAAGAGATCTTTCATCTGCTGGTTCACTCCCCAACTGGCCCCAACAGCCAGAGTTGAGCTGAGGAACTTCCTCTGGGTATCCCACATGTGTGCCAGGGCCAAGGACTTGAGATATCCTCTGCTGCTTTCCCAAGTCACAATCACGGAGTCGAATTAGAAGTGGAGTAGCCAGGACTCAAACCAGCGCTTGCAGGCATATGGATTAACCTACTGTGCCACCTCACCAGTCCCATCACTTTGCCTTTCAAATGAATGAAAATTTAAAAATATAAACTTTTTAAAAAACAAACAAACAAAGGTAAGGCAGAGACTCCATTTGGCTCAGTGTGCCCTTTGTCCATGCTCTACTGAACAAGCCCATTGAGCTGGGGAGCAACTGATCAGTATCAAGTGAAAGGCAGACTGGCATGGGGCTGAGGTAAAGCTGCCCAGCAAAGCAGGTCAGTTCTGCCCAACAGGTACCAGAGGGTCCAGTCATGATTCTTATTGTTCAGATCAACAAAGATTATCAAGAGGAAAGATGGGCTTCAGCATACTACCCTATGGGTCTGAGAAATAAAGCGGCAGAAATCCACAGGCCAAGTTCTCGGCTCTGATGCTTGACCCCACCCCCACAGTTCATCCAGGCTCAAGTAACATAGGATGGCCTCGACAAGGATGCAGCTCCCAGCTCATGACACCATAAAAGGCCTGCAAAATCCATTGGTCTGATACTGCCGAGGCAACCACAGGCAGGACTCGAAATGCAATGAATCTATAGCAGGCTTATTTTTTAAAGTTGATCATTTTGTGTGGTTCATGAATGTTACATATATCTAAATGGCCCTTGGCAGAAACAAGGTTACACACTTATGAAATACACCAATAAATGAAAGCATGAGTTGTGCACTGTCTGCTTTATTCTGAGACTGGCAACTGTTCTTTTCTATTCTTTTAACTTCATTCTTTTTGAAAAGCCTTTATGCATCAAAAGCCAATTCCTTCTGCCTCAAATACTCAAGGTCTTGAAATGTACTGTCCAATACAGTAGCCAAAAGCTTCCTGTACCTCATTAACATGTAAATGAAGGAGAGGAAGGATAGTTGTCCAGTACTGCAACTTAAGATGCCACCTGGCGGTGCGCAGTGCAGTAGCCTAGTGACTAAAGCCCTTGCCTTGCACGTGCCAGGATCCCATACGGACACTAGTTCATGTCCCAGCAGCCCTACTTCCCATCAGCTCCTTGCTTCTGGCCTGG